GGGGGGGAGGAAAGAAAAAAATTAAGAAACATTTCAAGTTTATAACAAATGTAGCAAAAATATTAGGAAATAAAGGATCAGGAGGGGGGATGTATGAGCTAAGCAGAACACCACTCGGCTTCTTTTGAAAAGATTATTCAGTCTTAAGCACTTTTATTGAGTCATCAATTGCATTCCAGCACTTAACACCAGAAAATCTTATATCAAACTTTCCAAAATTAAAGTTCTTGCCTTGGGGAGGGTGTAGGATTTTTTAAAAACTAATCTAGTATTTTTCATGATTATTCAATGCTCCTGGTAGTGCAGGATTTTYCCCCCCTTGCACGCACTTTTTTTCACTCATTTTTCATTCCACAAATTTTAAAGGTATTTTCCCCACCTCCTTTCACGAATGGTCCGTCCCTTAAAATTCAGCGGTAGATAATATTAAGACTTATTTGATATTTGTACTCGAACCTCACCTTTGTGTCTCCAAGCTTCTGGCCGAATATGTCGTGGATGATTGTGGATTTAACTTCTGGCTTGACAAGGAATTTCTTTTGAAGCGATTCTTCTAAGTTGTTCCTTATGTGAATAAAACATCTCAGACCAATTGCTTCTGGAAATGCTGCGAGTAAGGCATTTATGAGAGCTATTTCGCCGTCTGATCCATAGGCTTTTAGATTCTGTAGAACTGGCTTCTTTCCGATCAGGTAAGATAGGAAACCATAATAATTCTGTGTTGTTTGCTGCATATGGATAAAGCTGGGTCCAAGGAAAACTGGGCTTTCTTGTGACTCCTTTAGTAAGAGCATTGGATGCTTGTATGTGGTTAGAGTGACAAAAAATTTGCCAAGGTTAAATGTTGGGTCGATGCTCATGATGGAAAATCGTGTTTGATTTGTGCAAAAACGGGTAATGTCTGTTACTTGCTGCTCGAATGCTACTATTACTTCTGGTGTTTTACCAAAAGTTACTTCTTGTATAAAACCACCTTCTGAAGCGTTATCTTCCTTCAACTGCATCAACAACTGAAATATCTCATCTTTGTCTTCGTCTTTCTTCTTATTAACGAATGATGCTATAGCATTGTAGACTTGCCTAGGATTTCGTGGTTCACATGATGTTGAAGTGCTACCTAATAGGCCTCCGCTCTTTTCAAACGAGTCATCATATACGACTTTAGGCTTCTTGTTGAAACAGTGTTCCTTAATATCATTCAGCGTTGATGCAGCTGTACGAACGAAAGGCTTTTTATTGTTACCGCGAGCATTTCAATGAGGTGCCAGAACAATATCTTCTTCCTTACCTCCTTTAAAAAAGTACTGCAGAACAGCCAACGGTGCAAGTTTTTCATAAGAGTCTTTTAAAGTAGAAATAACTCGTTTGAATTCCACACCTTTTTCTTTCTTTGTGGCTTTGTGTGTGCCATATTGCCGATATAGTGTGTATACATTATCTCCAGAAGTGAATTCTCTCTTCACAGACAGTATAGAACCTGTAGCACTATCTCCCAAGATCCATTGTCATCAGCTGTCAAGTCTTTCACGTCCACCTTTTCTAGACTGATTACAAAGACTSAGTTGTGCTGCACTCCCACAGGTCGTTGCTGGCAAATTTTTTCTGGCATTTCAAGTGCCTCATGTAGTATTATCTCTATCAGTGTTGAAGTCGAGAGACCTTTTTCGCGACTCCACAATGGCCAGTTTTTGTTATTGAAGTAGTTGTCTGTTGGCTACAGAATATAAAAGATAAGTCAGTTATTATTTCTGTGAGATTGAAATAATTCTACTACAGTTGCCCTCATTATAACGGACATCCTGTAGAACCAAATGCCTGGAGTGGGGGGGNGGGGGGGGGGGGGGGGGGGGGGGGGGACTCCGGGTATAAACGTACGGGGATGCTCGTCGTATCTTTAATAGGGGTAAAAATCAGCGACTTGGTAACTTTTAGGGTCTTTTAATTTAAACATTTGATATTTAGCAAATCAGCTTAAAAAAAGGAAATTACCCATCGCAATCGTCGCATGTATACAAATCCAGTCATTAATAAATATTTTTTTTACAATTTATCTTTGGTGCATTTTAATAGTATTATTTTTGGGGTATCCTTTATATGGGTTGAAATTTGCCAAGCCCTGCCCTTTTGAAGAAAAAAAATACTATATAAAAGAATTCAAGATCGGAGAAGGGAAAATTAAAGTAAAACTGAAAAATAATTTATGCACTAGAATAATAACCAAAATAAAGCACAATGCTCGAAAATTAACGTCTGTTGATTCAGGATTTTAGTTTTATCTACAAAGTGATGAAATATTCACAGCATTTCAAATAGTAAAATTTTGAAAAAGTAAAGTTAATTGGCTGTTGTGAATTTCATTGGACCCCTGGTATCCAGGGTAAGCTAGAAATGGTCACGACAATTAAATATATGTGAAAATGAAGCATGTTATGCACTTATCAATGTTAAGGATGTTAAGGTTAGGGAGAGGGGTGTGGATTTTGACATTTTCTGGACCAAAATTCAAATTCCCCAGCCCGCCGGGCCAAAATATTTTTTCAAAAGTCTCAAAAAGTTTTCAAAGAAATGAATAAAATAAAATAGCCAATACGAAGTAGAAAATGTATCTTTGTTAATAACGATATTTCGGCTAGTCATACTAGCCGGATGATAAATAGCATAGGTTGCATTATATATATGATCTTGAACGGAAATTACAAAATGAACAAAATAACAAATAAACAGAAATTACATGTTCAAAAAAATAAAACAAAAATATTAATATAAATAACGGGTTACAAAAGAGGTCTTCTTGATATAGTATAAAAGAAGAAAATTAGTAAGTTTCATCAAAGAAATAGTATAAATTAAAATAAATGACATAAGCTGATAAAGTGAAGAGCTTCATATGTTCAATGCAATTACTGCTATCGGTTGCGGTTAGGTGGCATGACCATTTTTTGTGCAAATCTTCGTAATTATGTTCCGATAAATCAATATAAGCTCAAGTACCTACCTTGACATCTTCAAAAATACTTTTGCTGAGACTATCTTCAGAGCTGTCACAAGAACTGTCACCACTGTCACCGCTCAGAGTAAGATCAATGACTGATAATAAAAAAAATTTAATAGATAAGCTATCGTAGGTTATCATATCTATCATCATATTATGCTTTTAATGATGATCCGTAAAATATGATTAATTCTTCCTTCAATTAATATTATATTCATGCAGTTCAGCTTAGATAAAAGGACGTTTTTAATCTTAGAATATCTTGAAGAATGCGTACCATCCATGCGTGAATTTTATAGAAAACATCCAATCAATATGTTATTTTGTAATTTGTAGCAAAAAAACAAGACAAACATTAGGAAAAAAAAAAAAATTTTTATCACAAAGTACAGCACTTACATACCTTCGCTAGAAGTCATCGCCATGCATTCAACACACAGGGCACACAATACGCATGACAGATTCCGGGATCCGATTGTCAAGAGCTGGGCTTCCTGTGCTTTTGTGTAAATAAACATGGCGTCGCCCGGGAACTTTCGCTTTTTTTCACAATTTTTCTTAGTGTAGATACTAGAGACAGAAGCAGTTAAGACTAATGCTTGTTTTATTCAAAGAACCATTGGAATCCTTCAAATTCGAGAAAGAATTGCATTGATAGCCAGCGAAACGACATTAAATAAATGATCGATACGCGGATCACAGATCATAAAGCACGGGCATAAAGGTAAGCTTTATCGCATTTGTATCATTGTACTATCGTTTATTTTGATTTTTTTCATTTTTTATTGCATGATATTTGTAATATCAATAATTTGTCTCTGTTTCGTTCCGGTGTTTCGTTCCGGTGTTTCGTTCTGGTGTTTCGTTCCGGTGTTCCGTTCCGGTGTTTCGTTCCGGTGTTTCGTTCCGGTGTTTCGCTGTTTAGCAGTGCCCCTGTCTTGTCATCAACTTCGGTCGACAGTCCAACATTCCTTAGGTTCTGTTTGTGTACACTACTCTCTGTAATCACTCTCCATTCTTTCTTCTTACCTAAACCGGGCAGGGCACTGGTAGAATGGCGCCCTGTTAATGCGTGAAATACAGGGAAAGCTTTGCACATTTGAGATTTCTTGTGCTGGGATGGTGATCGCAGGTGATCCTTGACATCAGTACAGAACCAAAATTCACTGCAACCGATATCATCATAGTGTGAGACGCAAAGAAGGAAGACATCTGTATCTGGCGACTGTATCACTGCATCTCGATCTAGCATGTTTTGCATGAAGGAACATTGATCTGAATTTAGGTTTGGAACTGCATTACACAGGTCATTCTTGACAGATAATGCTAGTGGTCCATTCATCATTACTCCGTCAATGACAAGTTCTTTATTGTGAGGTGTTGTTGTCCGGCTTTGGTCCATGCCTCAGTAAGAAAAGCACAAAGGCTTGTAGAAGGCACAAATGTAAAAACTGGACCCAAATGTAATAAAGATCACAAATGTAATAAACTTTGGTCACAAATGTAATAAAGGTCACAAATGTAATAAACTTTGGTCACAAATGTAATTTTGTTTTTAATTTAATTTTTTTGTATCAGTCTCAAGGCCAAAACTAATTGTGCTTTTAATGTTGTAAACTCAAAATCCATCGTATAACTGTACACCGTGTATGCAAATTTTCCACAATTTTTTTCTCAGATGTAAGATCACAAATTTTTTCTACAATTTGCAAATTCATTTAATGTTT